TCTCTCCAGTCTGCACCAAGAATGCAGTGATGACATCCTGTCTCTCTAGTCTGCACCAAGAATGCAGTGATGACGTCCTGTCTCTCCAGTCTGCACCAAGAATGCAATGATGACGTCCTGTCTCTCAGTGTCTTAAGACCTCCTTTCCCTCCCAGGATTTGTTATTTTTCCCCAGAAAGGCACAGTTGCCCAGGGCCTGTTGGCTCTCATGGGCCCCGGCACTGTCCCTGTGGAGCTCGTGTAAGGCTATACTGCTGCATCTTGAAGAGTTTCGGTCTTCCAAAAAGGAAATTGTTAAGGCAGAAAAGGAACTTAATTTATTCACCAGACGTTTAATGAGTGTGTGCTATGCACAAGGCCTTGTGATGCTCTCAGGTGATCCCAAAGGAATATTTTGAGTGACAGTAAAGTAATTAAAGAGTTTCACTATATAAGGGGTTATTAACATGTATAAGGAACCTCTTTTGATTTCGGAGTTTCACCCCCAAATCAAAGGAGAACATCCTGGACTATCCATTGATGATGTTGCAGGGAAACTGGGAGGGAGGTGGGTCAACACCGCTGCAGGTGACAAGCAGCCTTGTGAAAGAAGGCTGAAAAGCTGATGGGAAAACACAAAAGGTGATTGCTGCACACTCTGGAAAGGGAAGCCTGATGCAGCAAACAGGAGTCGTCACGGCTGAGAGTCACCCTATGTTACGCACAATGGCAACTTTCTATTTGGAATAAAGTAAGAGCTTACACTTATCAAGTGCTCATTTTGTGTCAAGAGCTACTCTAAATACTTCATTCATTCATTCCAGTATTTATTGAAGTCTAACATGTTATAGGCACTGGCCTAGGTGCTAAGAGCTTTAACCGTAGCCAAAACACACAAAACCCTCTGTTCTCCAGAAGTCTATCTTTTGTCGGTGCAAAAAATAAAATACAGATTTCCAGATGGTGATAAATGCTATGGAGAAATGGAGAGTGGAGAATGGAGACAGGACGTGCTGAATGTTTGCTGCAATCCCATCACTGATAGAATTGATACAGGAGTGAGGAAGACAGAGGGGACTCCAAGTGTTTTGGCCTAAATGGATAGAACTGCTATTTATTGACATAGAAGTCTATGGAATAAGCAGCTTTTTAGGGGCTGTTAAATCTGAGGTGCCTACCAGATACCCAGCTAGCGAAGGGTAGAGATCCAACCTGGAGTAGCCACCACACAGACGATTTAGTCATGGACCTGGAGGAAATCAACAAGGCGTCTAAACGCAGAAGAGAAGAGACCAAGGACTGAGCTCTCGGGCACTCCAACATCCACGGGTTGGAGACATGAGGAGAAACTGAGGACGGGCAGTGAAGGAGGAAAATATCCAGGAGAGCAGGGCGTCCTGTAAGCCAAGTAAAGGACACTTCCAGAAAGAGGGAGTGATGACACTGCATGAAGCAAACCGAGAGAAAAGCATGAGCTGATTATTGCACTGCTGGACAGTGGTAGGTTGACACCAACCGCACTGACTCCTTTAAGACTCCCAGTAACCCAGTAATAATAGGTATTACTTTATTCCCCAGAGATGAAAACTGAAGCCCAGGACAACTAAATAA